AAAATTATTTTCCTTTACCATTTGAGAATTTACTTGTGTACTAAGTATTTCATTTATCTATTGAATGTTTCATCATGATCAGCAGTAGATTTATCATAAAATTTGTCATTTTCATTTGCTCATTAATGGAACTTATCCAAAAAGGTTCTAACTAGCATATGAATTAATACATTTACTTGAACGTTTAATATAATGGGCTTTTAAATTCCAAAATCAGTTATTTTTAACGGCGAATGAGACCGTGTGATTCAGTATTTGGATCATCACAGTTCAGCTTAACTACGGTTATTCCTCTCGTTATTAACCTTTCTCGCATAATTGGCACTTATTATTGCAAAGAAGAAAATGGCGATCCGGAAGAGTTATTTGATTGATTCATTCAGACATTCATGCTTCACTTCTAACTGCCTGTGATTACTGGTTATATAACTATGGACAAGTTTGAGAAGCCGTAGATAGCAATTCCACGGAGAAAAAAGAAAGATAATGGTAATTATCTTAAAGTTATCCATAAGTTTTAAACTCAATCGTTCGTCGGATTGATCAATTTCTGAATACTAGTTGATCGATACACAGATGGTATTGACGGAATAACTTTGCATATATATCGTAAAGAAGAATAGCTGAAGGATAATGACGCCAAAAAGGCTCACCTCCCCCTCCCCCTGCCAAAAAATTTTTTATATATAGAGAGATAAGTTGAATGTAATAAATTTTAAGTAAGCAAACTTTTTAATATATTTTGAATTCATTGCATTACAGAGTTGGATTAGCTTTTGACCACGAATTCAGAAAGTTTTGTGGTCAACTGTATATAGTCGAAAATTTATCAAGTGATGGAAATGTGGGGGCGATGTTATCAGAAGCAAGTTATGTCGACAATTTCATCAGTGAACAACATTTGGAAATGAACATTTCTGGTGTTGAAACCTGCCTGGTGATGTATCAGATGCTTGGGGTTCAAATTTAAGAACTTATTTATATAAAAAGTTCTTTACCAATTTCGTTAGTGATGTTTTGCCTGGTAATAATGATGGTGATACAGATAGAAGGGAAGATTGACTTGATGAAATGATGGTATACAATGTAGAGTATGCAAGAGATGACGCGCAAAGAATGGAATATTCTTCGCAAAGTACTTGTGATACAAAACTGGCTATCGGAATCATCGAAAAATAGTAGTCATATTGGACTGTTTTGCAAGCACATTTTATACAAGAAATACTAATAATGGTTTTATATAGGAAATGGAATTTCTTTCTCATATGAGTATTTCGGAATTTTTCGATTTCAATGGTTTGTTCGGGAAATATCGGGAAAGCAGTATCGGAACAATGTGAGGTAATCATTTATTATAACTTAAATCTGTAAATGGTTACAAGCAAAGTTTTAAAATGTGCATTACTTCCATTCTTCATTTTAAAATTTGCATTACTTCCATTCTTCACTTGTTTTAGTTGGAATTGTGAATCAATCGTATCATGTTGAAGAAAACATTTGTTACGATCCTTTGAATGCACCAACACCTTCGGATGTTGCGCATGAATTATTGGATCGGAATCCCACTTTAGAGTTGCAACAGGTTTTGTTTTATACAAAATTTTATACAAAATTTAACAAGATTTGAAAAATTCGAAATAA